ATCCCCACCCCATCCCATCCCTCTTCCATCACTTTCACCCTCTTTCCCACAGTGGAACCTCCCAGGAGGGGACTGTACCATTCCACCTTTTCAACCCTCTCGGCACGCAGAATCTCCTGGTCTAGGGCTGTACCATTTACCAACTTGTGCTAATAAATACTTTTCCAAATCCTTCCTCCTTCACTAAATGCAAGCCCTCTACTAGAAGCCGTAAACCCAACCTTCTTCCCCCAGGCTCCGGGAAAACCTCGTGCAAACTCCGCGCCTCACGGGTTTGCAGAGTCCTCCTTCCGGCCCCGCCCCCCGCGGCGGCGGCGCTGCCCAGTCCCCGCCGGAAGGAGGATTCCTGCCCGTACGGAACTGCGAGCCTTCAACATGGCGGCTCCCATCACGCACAGTGCGTGGGGGCGGCCACGTTGCCTCCTGAACAAAGCCGCCGAGGATGCTCAGTGGGCAAAGCTGCCCCGTACCGCTCAGCGCAGGCTCGGAAGCCCCGCGCTCCGCTCGCTCCGGCAGGAAGAGAGAGTTCGTCAGTGTGGCTGTGACAGCCGTCCCGGGTTAAGCCGCGATGACCGGCGTCCTGGGGACCGGATAACCGAGCCGCGGGTCAGACGGCAGATGCGTGGGGTGAGGCGTGTCTTGGGTTGGCCGTGATAAAGGAGGGGTCCTGAGGGTCGGCGGTTGGAGGCGTGAGAAGTCACAGCGCAGGAGGAGGGGGACTGGTGCTGGGTTTGTTTGGGAGCCAGGGTGGTGTGAGCTATGAGGTTAGCAGTTGGGGAGTGATGTGCCGGTGATGGGGTTGTCTGTGGGATCAGAAATGGTGCGTCGAGGGGCACACACGGGTGGGGATGCCTGGGGCCGGGGGTTTAGGGGACTCTGGGGAGTCGGTGGTGGGTCGGGGGGCTGCGGACCAAATGACGGGGCGCCCCTGTGGCGGTCGGTGACGTGATGGGCAGAGGGGAGTCTGCGGCGAGCGATTGCAGGCCCAGGGGTTCAGCGACTCGGGGGGAGTAGGGGTGGTATCAGGGCGCCGTGGTCATCAGCCCTGATTTACTGGGAAAGGTTTTACCTCCTTTAAAACTTGCACAGGTTGTGGACCACTGTTGAGTTCTTCAAGGTCACCCCCCTTCTCAATCCATCACTGTGCCTCCATCTGGCGCTCCCCACAGAAATGACCATTGTAAAGGACAGGATTACTATAAAAAGTGTGGTTTTCGACCTACTTCTTTCTAAGCTTATGGAAATCATTCTATATTTTATTCAAGAAACATTTATTGAGCACCTGCTGGATGCCCGGAGATGAGTATGATTATTTCTCCTGGTTTTCCTACCAGATCTGTTTTGATAAAGTCTCCCTGTCGTGGGGGTGCCCACTTCCCCTGAACCAGTTCAGCCCTGTGGGCATGATTCCTCCTGGGACTGAGGAAACTTTACCAGGACTGGACTGTATTGAGGCAAGAAAATATTAGACAGAAAACATGTTGACATGAACATTTAAGTCCATGAATATTAATTGGCAGGAGACTTTGCTGAGTTGAGGGAAGATATAATAGAGTACTGGAATTCAGTTGCCAGTTTTTCTGAGGAATAAAGGAATACATTCTTTAGTTTTCCATTTGGTCATTACCATTCTTATTGCCAGGGAACTCCATCTACAGCTAAATCTTTATGGAGATCTATCCATGTTTATTCCCTTAAGAAAATATTTTACAAAAATAATTGCTGGTTCATAGGGGGAAAGTAAGTTAGTAAATCAACATGTAACATCTTTACATCTGTACAGTTAAAAAACTTTTGAGTTCTATGTGGTCATAGTATATAGTCAGAAGAGGACTTCCTTCACACGGTGCTTGCTGAGCATTCCGTAAAGACCAAACAGTCTTCTCCCACAGGTTGGCCTGTCATCCACGCGACTTCTGGTGGTAGTTGTTTCTAGACTGGTGAATATGGAAGCTTCAGGTTGGGTCTGCTCTGTGAAAACATCCTTCTGATCACCAGTTTTCCATTTTCAGGTATCTGTCCTTTTAGAAGAGAGCAGAAAATGATGAAGTCCCAGGTGAGTTGCCTTTCTTTTTAATTTTTTACATTTCCTCCTTGGTTTCCCATGCAATTAAATAGAAAAGTAAAAAGAGCTAAACTTTGGATTAGGGAAAAGGTAGCCAAAATAAAGATCAAAACCTGAAAGAGGTGCTAGGTAATATGTAGGTAACCTGGCCTGAAAGCATTTTAAAAAAAATGGATGTACCAATTTTTCTGATCTTTCTTGCAGACATCATCAGTTACATGATTTGCAAGTCTCTAAAGAGAAAGCAGGTGAATTTCCCATGGGAAGAAATGTTTTCTTGCCATATAAGACTAAAACTTCCTTTTTAGGGCTTTGTCTAGGTGATGGGCTGCGGTGTTCTCACCAACACTGCTATGGTAAATACAATGGTAGACTTCTTGTAGCTGTATCACAAAGTGATCTCTTCTAGAAGGAAGGTATCGGTGTCAGAGCCATACTCCTTGAACTTTATCTTTCTGAGCTAGGGTCATCAAACTATTGCCTGTGGGCCAAATCCAACTTTTTTTTTCTTCAAATCCAACTTTTTATAAGCAGAGTTTTGTTGGCAGCATAGCCATGCCTTTTGTTTACGTATTGTCTAGGTCTGTGTTCGTGCTACAGTGGCAGAGCTGGGTAAGTACAAGAGACCACATGGCCTACAAAGCTGAAATATGTACTTTACTGAAAAAGTTTGTCAGCCTCTGATTTAAAGGACCAAATCGATTGCAGAGGCTTCCTGCCGTCCAAATTTAACCGCCAGTAAAATGTAGATAACATAGGATGGGAACATTTTGAGCGATCTGCCAAAAACAATGTTCCTCTCAAAAGGCAGTTCTTGAATTATAATTATCTGTCAAAGCTGTGGAGAGCAAGGGCCCCCAGTGCTTCATATCCTTTCCTGTGGCTTTGTGAATTTGTAGGATTAATGTCCAACTCAAGGCCAGCTCCTTCTCTGCTCTTCCATTTTCAACAGTCTCTATTATATTTTCCCCCTTGTCAACATTTGCTGTGTACATGGTACAGGAATTTTAAACTGTATAAAAAGATAAAAATTAAAAGCCAAGAGACCTTTACCCTTTAAACTACCCTCCTCCTGAGATTATCAGCGTTAATCATTTGTTTTTAACCTTCCAAAACTTTTATGACACAACTGCAAGTGTGTGTATGTGAAAGTACAAATATGTGAGGATGTCCCTTATTTTCTTCCGCCTTTCTTTTGGAAAAATAATGTTACAGGAAACATTCTGTTCTGCAACTTGATTTTTAACTAAGATTTTTGAGTACATTCTTTTTATATATATATATCTTTATTGATTTCAGAGAGAGGAAGGGAGTGGGAGAGAGATAGAAACATGAATGATGAGAGAGTCATTGATCGGCTGCCTCCTACATGTGCCCTGACCGGGAATCGAACTGCGGGTTCCTGGATTCTAGGCCGATGTTCAGCCGCTGAGCCACGCCTGGCCAGGCATGTGTACATTCTTAGTAGCTTCCCATGCCAGTACATAGAGTCTTCCTTTCTTATTTTAGCAGATGCATATTATTTCCTTGTGGCCTGGTTGACTGGGATTGTTTCCTCATCTGTAAAATGGAGATTATAATCCTCATTGGGTTGTTGTGAGAATTGAGTAAAAAAAACTTACGCTTAGAACTGGTAACTGGTGATGGTTTGTTTTATACATAAGTGTTAGCTGTTATTATTATATCATCATTATTATTGTCAAGACTGAAATCAGCTTTTGTGTTAGGAGTCCTTATGTATATTTTATAATAGAGTTTTAACAACTGAGTTAAAAAAACACCATGTTTTTTTTCTTCTTGGACGTCAGTAACTTTAGAGCCGTGTGCCCAGTACAGAGGCATCTGCCACATGTGCTTGCTGAGCACTTGAAATTGGCTGGTCTGAATTGAGATGCGCTATAAGAGCCAAGTTGGGAGTGGGATTAAAAGAGTATTGACCTTGGGATCATGCTGGATTTTGAAGATGCAATTTTAACTCACTAATAATTTTTAAGGATTGATTGTATGTTAAAATCATGTTTTGCATATATTGAGGTAAATGTGTTACTGAAAACCATTTTTTGAACTTGGCAATTCTAACATTTTGCTTTTACCTCCCCACCTCTCCCATTCTCCCAGTCATCCACGCTGTAAAAATTCTCTACAGATGACAAAAGTACTATTTCCCGCTGATTAAGTGTGATATTTTTCTCAAAAGTAGTAAGATTTATATATATTTAGTTAACTGAAGTTTTCAAATATCATTAATAAGGCAAAACCAGAATGTTAGAATTACATCTATTAATTTTCCCATCAGAATAGATTTCCTGTACATTCCATATTTACCATCTTTTTCATGTTGCTGTTCTTCAGATCAAAAGAATATAATTGACCAAGGCACAAAAAATATTTTTAACTTAACATGAACTTTATTTTATTCTATATAATCTTCACTCATTCCTTTGTAGCAAACATTATTTTTAATCCTTATGGTTTTTTGTTTGTGGTTTTTTTTAATCCTCACCTGAGGGCATGCTTATTCATTTCAGGGGGGGGGAGAGGAAAGGGGGGGAGAGAGAAACATCGATGTGAGAGAGAAACATTGATCGGTTGCCTCCCCCATGTGCCTGACTGGGGATCGAACTCACAACTGAGGTATGTGCCCTGACGGGGAATGGAACCCGCAACCTTTTGGTGTACAAGATGTCGCTCCAATCAACTGAGCCGCCCGGCCAGGGCAGCATGCATCCCTTGAGTACCCAGTATATGCCGTGTGCACTGTGGAATCCTCAAGAACGTTTAGGCGCGGTTCTCCCCTGGCAGGGAGAAGAGTGAGGTGAACAGTGTGGACCCAGCGCTGACATAGGGACGGGAGGGCAGGAGCCGTGCAGGAGAGGGGGTGTCTAGCTTTATGAGGAAATCGGGCATAGGATTAAAAGAGTATCGAACTGGGCCTGCGAGGGAAGGTAGGGTGAGGATGGGGAACAGCATTTGCAAAAGCAGAAAGAGCACAGTGATTTTAGGAAGGCTGAGAATTTGAGGAAAACTAAAGTGGAGGGTGTTTCATGGAAACTTTGACTAAGGATGGTATTAAAGTCATAAAATAGAAATGGTCTTGTTTACAGTATCAAGGATGCAGTGGTCAAGAACCCAAACTGTCGCATCAGAACAGTGGCTTTTAAATCTCAGTTAATCCATCATACAGTCAGTGTGTAACCTCTGGCAGGGACTTAGTTAAGCACTGCAATCCTCAGTATTCTCACACATAAAATGGGAAAAGTAATAGAGTTGTTATGAGGATAAACTAAATACTTGGCAGCTGGATAGTCTGAATATGGGACTTGCTGTGGGATGAGAGAAACTGTAAGATTGAGATGACACTATTTGTATATTCAAGGATGGGTCCAAAGGAGGCTTTTAAAGCAGGGGACTGTGATATTTGAAACGCTATTTAATTTGTTTTCATCTTGAAAAATAGCTTTACAATAATACAGATCTTTCAGATTCTATTAGTTGACAACTATTGTGAACATGATGACAGAATTAAAATAGTTAATTCTCCCTCCAGAAACATCTTTTGACTCTACACTTACTCAAGTCCCTTATTTTAATGCCATGTCAATAATTTGGTGGGGGTTTTTGTTTTTCATGAATATTTCTTGCACATTTCTTAAGTTTGTTCTTCAGTATTATTATTTCAATTGATCTATTTCATTATGCTTTTAGCTATTGAGTGCATATAGTAGAACTGTTAGATTTCTGAGAAGCTAAGATTATTTTTCTGTAAAATGAGGGGATTAGATTATGATCTTCAGGAACTCTGACATTCTTTGATTCTCTAAAAAGGCCTTTTCTCCTCCATATTATTAATAAAAATTCTCTCATGTTTTGTTTTGTTACTTTTATGGCCTTGGGTATTTTTATAGTTTAAATTTTGACTCCACCTAGGATATGTTTTTTCTGTTTTCTAAGACATAAGATATGGTGTATTAGTTTGCTAGGGCTGCCATAACCAAGTACCACAAACTGGGTGGATTAAACAACAGAAATTTATTATCTCTCAGTTCTGGAGGCTAGAAGTCAAAACTCAAGGTGTCAGGGGGATTGGCTCCTTCAAAGGGCAATGAAGCAAGATCTGCTCCAGGGCTCTGTCCTTAGATTATTGACGACCAGCTTTTCCCCATGTCTCTTCATATCATCTTCTCTCTATGTCTGTCTGTCTTTCTCCAAATTTCTCCTGTTGATATGTACATCAGTCAGATTAGTATCCTCCCTAATGATCTCATATAATTACATCTGCAATGACCTATTTCCAAATAAGGTAATATCCTGAGGCACTGGGGAGGTTAGGATTTCAACATATGAGTTTTCAGGGGATACAATTTTACCTATAACACATGGAGTCAGCATTCTTTCCTGTTGACTATCCAGTTTTTTTAGTACTATTCATTAAATAATCCATTTTCCTCCCAGTTATTTGAATGCTGCCCTTATCGTGTCTTAAATTACCATTTGTATTAGGTAGACATTTTATGATTTACCTCTTCTGTTTCCCTGATCTGTCTGGCCCTTCCTGCTAATGACAGGATAGTACATTGTTTCTCCCAAATGTCATGATACAAAACCAAGTATAGGTATACTAGTGCATGCTATAGTAGATATAAGAATGATCACTTCAGATTGAACAGGAATATACTGTTACAGGGGTTAGTATCATTCAAGGATGTGGCTGTGGATTTCACTCAGGAGGAGTGGCAGCACCTGGACCCTGCTCAGAGGACCCTGTACAGGGATGTGATGCTGGAGAACTACAGCCACCTGGTCTCAATGGGTAAGGATGGCTTTCTGTGTAACTCAGAACTGTACAATCAAATACCTTTCCTTATCAGTTGCTGTGGTTAGGTGGTTCCTGACATTTATAATGACTTTTATGATCATCATACCTTCCCAAATGGAGGTCATTACTCTGCTGAGGGCTAACTGGACTGCTTCATTTTAGACTTGAACTGTACCTGCTCTTTTTCCTTCAGTGTACTGTATCCCAATTTCTCTGTAATTTCAATTTAATAGGGCACCCATTTTCCAAACCAGATGTCATCTCCAAGTTGGAACAAGGAGAAGATCCATGGATCATTAAGAGAGATATATCAAATTGGATTTATCCAGGTAAAAATCAGGCAGATGGGAGGCAAAGGAAGTGAAATTTCAGTTAGTTTGTTTTGCTTTGTTTAACTGATTGGGCCTGAGGCTTATGCTTCTGTCCTTAGTGAAATCTCTTATTCTTTGCTTCTGTGCTGAGAATTTAGTAGGCATTCAACTAATAATCAATTAAATAATTGTGAGTCTTTATAGGGGGAGCTATTTCTTATGATCCCCACTCTTTCATATACATTATAAATGCCTTTTATGAAAAGGCTTACTACGCAATAGAAGGCACATAGGTTATGCTTCAGAAGGTAAGACTTGCAGGTGCATGGCTGTACAAAATTAAATATCAAATATAGGTACTGTTTTTAAAAGTTCAGAGAAAAGTAGAGTCTAAAGAGATGCAACAATTTGAGAAGGCATTTTTCAGAGTATGCAGCAGTAGCTGCTTTGAAAGATGGTAAGTATCGATGATGTCAAAGGAGGAGAGTGAAGGCAAACTGTTGGAGGGTGGTGGTGGTGGTGGTGGTGAGGGAGTAGATGAGTTAGGGAAATCTGGCTCTTCTGGGTGAACTTTGCTAGTTTTATTTGGTACATATAGAAGGTAAATGTACTGAATGTGGGAAAGATATTTATGAGGAATTCAAGCTTGGGTTCTTGATGTGAATCTGATATTGAATTTATAACAGGATCTTGGATTTTTCTATTGTTTGTGTTAGTTGTTAATTAGGAACGTAGACAGAGGAGAGTTAAAGTAGTCGGAGTACCAGAGAGACCTTCTTTCTTTGGATGGTAGTTGCAGGACAATAGTAGTTAAGTATGTATATAGCAAATGGTTTATAAAATAAATGAATTAAAAAGGTGAAAAGTGTTTTCTTTTAGAAAGCAGGGTAAATGGGAAGATTCTAGAATAGTAATCCAAGATTAGAGTGATAACCCAGACACTTTTCTGTCTCCTTCAAGTCTAGCTTTTCCATGAATATTTCTCTTTGACATCCTTGTCTGTTTATTCACCTGATCATACTATATGCTGTACTGTCTTACAGGATGGCCTGTCTCCATCCCTGTTTTCAGAGCTCATCAACTATGTTAGATCAGTTTATTTGTTTCACTCCTCTGTGTTCTGTTATTATTGTTTTATTTATCTTTCTTTTCTTTAGACAGGAAGAGTAACCTTGACAATCCCCAATCATACATTTTTGGGTCTTTTTCCTTCCATAATAAGACACTGAAAGGAGTCACAAAGGATGGTTCATTGTACTCTATTTTAAAAGTATGTCAAGGTGATGGCCAACTGCAGAGATGTCCAGAAAACCAAGACAGACTTTTCAGTCAAGTAACAGTTATCAATAACAAAACAGTGACTGTGGAGTCAGGCCATAAGTATAGTGCACTGGGGAAAATGTTTCGAGAGTTTATAGAGCCAGATACTTTAAGACAAACACCCCCTAACTATGATGCAGTTAAAAAGTACATGAAATCTAATATTGACCTACCTAGTGATAATAAGACTAGTTTAAGAAAAAACCCTGATGAAAGTTTTGGATGTGGAAAATCATCTAGTCATGATATGTTTAATTCTAATCTTGAGAAAATTCAAAATGGAGTAATACCTGGTGATGATAATCAGTGTAGAAACATTTTCAGCAATAAACAATCCCTTATTCATTATAAGAATGTTGAAACTAAAGAGAAAACCTGTGTATGTATTACATGTGGAAAAGACTTTGCTAAGAAGTTACAGCTTATTGTACACCAACGAATTCATACTGGAAAGAAACCATATGATTGTGGTGCATGTGGGAAAGCCTTCAGTGAGAAGTTTCATCTCATTGTACATCAGAGAACTCATACTGGGGAGAAACCTTATGAGTGTTCTGAATGTGGAAAAGCCTTCTCTCAAAAGTCATCTCTCATTATACATCAGAGAGTTCATACTGGGGAAAAACCATATGAATGTAGTGACTGTGGGAAAGCCTTCTCCCAGAAATCACCCCTCATTATACATCAGAGAATTCACACTGGAGAAAAACCTTATGAATGTAGAGAGTGTGGTAAGGCCTTCTCCCAAAAGTCACAACTGATTATACATCATAGAACTCATACTGGAGAGAAGCCATATGAGTGTACTGAATGTGGGAAAGCCTTCTGTGAGAAGTCCCACCTCATTATACATAAAAGAATTCACACTGGAGAGAAACCCTATAAATGTGCTCAATGTGTGGAAGCCTTCAGCAGGAAGACAGAACTCAACACACATCAGTTAATTCATACTGGGGAGAAACCTTATGAATGTACTGAATGTGGGAAGACCTTCTCCCGGAAGTCACAGCTCATCATACATCAGAGAACACACACTGGAGAGAAACCCTATAAATGCAGTGAATGTGGAAAGGCCTTCTGTCAGAAATCACATCTCATTGGACATCAGAGAATTCACACAGGAGAAAAACCTTATATATGTACTGAATGTGGGAAAGCTTTCTCTCAGAAGTCCCACCTCCCAGGACATCAGCGAATTCATACAGGAGAGAAACCTTACATATGTGCTGAATGTGGAAAGGCCTTTTCCCAGAAGTCAGACCTTGTTTTACATCAGAGAATTCATACTGGGGAAAGACCCTATCGGTGTGCTACATGTGGAAAAGCCTTCATCCAGAAGTCACAACTCACTGTGCACCAGAGAATTCATAACAGTGGTAAAACCATAATGAAGTGAACACAGAAAAGCCTTCTGTATTATTTCAAGCCTTAATAGATACTAGAACCCTGAGTAATTTGTTCAGTTTGTGGAAGACATACATAAAATTTTACAAGAGAATTCATGTCTTTAGTGTGATGATACCTAATTCTTTCAGTAAAGATGATGGGAAATTCAATCAACATGGCATGTAAAGTTTTTAAACTTATGAACTAAATGGTCAGTAGAAGAAATTATGTATACAGAATGTCAAATTACATTTTCCTTATTACACCACATAACAAAAACCAGACACTGTGAAATTGCTAATTTTAGCCTATCATAATTTTGTCCATACAGCCAAACCCTATGAAGGACATGAAGAAAGCTTGAGTAAAAAAAAAAAAAAAAGCAGCCTTAGAAATTGCATTATAAGGAGGGGCTTAGCATGACCCCTAAAGATACATGTAAAATTCTTGTACAAAGATGGAAAGATGGGTTAATCAAGTTCAATAAAAGTGATGTTTATGTGTTTTCCCGTTTCAAGCATATAGGTTGACCTGTATCTCTGTGAGTGTCCTGGACCTTGACATTGATGCTTCTTGACCAGGGCTTCCCTTTTTCTCTCCCTCAGTGGGAATTTGGAATGGTGGGAAAACTTTGGTACAGAACCCGAAGGTCTTGGGTTTAAATCCTGGCTCAACTATTCACAGATTGTGTGACTTCAGGCAAGCCTGCATCACCCATCTGAATATTTTTTCTTACTGATAAATAAAAGTGCAACATGGAGTACATTTTTTAGTTACTATTAGTCCTTTTTAAACTTTACTCTCTATCTGCTGCAACAGGGAGCTAAGACTAATTAATGGTTAAAAGACACATCTGAACTTGCACTCCAGACACTCTCACTTGTGATATCTTGTTCCTGTGACTGGTTCATTTTGCTGTCTTTGGTCCTGGTGACCTTGATTATTGGTATGTTAAAGTGACATTTTATTATACGTTTATTATGTTTTATATACACTTACATAAGCTGTGGTGATCGCACATAAGGACCCTGTCTAACGTCTCTTCAGTTCCTATTGGGCCCCTGCCCTGCAGCCTCAGCCATTCTCCTTGAGAACCAAGGGTACTTACAGAGGAAAACTGTTGGGGTGAGAGATCATGTCTGCTGTAGATCTGAGAATTTGGTATCCCTAAATGATTTCCCGCCCTTCTTCCTGTGGCTTTACCTGTTTGTTCATGAGCAGCTTTAGAGGAGGACTTGTGCTGGAGGTTCCCTGCAGGAAAGCATACCTGGAAAGGATGAGAGTGTCTGTATGGATAAGCATAGTTGACCCATGTTCCCCTTGTTCCCACTTGGTTCCTTCACATTTTCTGCTCACTTGGTTCCCTTCTTGCATGGATGAAGGGAACCAAGTGAAAAGACAGGGCTCCTCTAGTTGAGAACGTCTGCAGGGGAGAACTGTCTACTGTGAAAAGACAGAGCTCCTCTAGGTGAGAACACCTGTCAGGGATGTGGGAACTTGTGTGGACCAGTACCTGTCTCATTATGAAAAGTAAGCCGAGGACACTAACATCAGATAAAACTGACCTTTCAGACCTGGGAAAAAAGGCCTAGAGGCACAATTCAGGGGTTGAGTACTCAGAGGTTTCCTCATGGAAGATGTCCCAGCTGGCCCTTATAAAGGCATGAGAAGGACAAGAGATCATGCTGGGGACACACAGACTTAATGGAGAGGAACTTACACAGAATAAGAAATTCACAATCCCTACCTTACAGGCCTTTCATTTGATTTGTTCACTGTCAGCCCCCAGCCAATCTGATAAAGGGCTTCTATAAAAATCCCACTTCGGAATTAGCATCTACTGGTTTCACACTTCACTTTTCTTCAGCTTTTTGCTAGAGGAGCTATCCAGTGCAGCGGGGCAAGAAAAAGAAGTAATGGATGTGAGGACTGGAAAGGAAAAGTAAACTGTTCATTATTTGCAGGTGATATAATTGTGAATAAGGAAAACAAACATACTGATTATTAGAACTAAGGACATTTAGTTGCTTTATATGATTTTAATATTAAATAAACTAATTCAACAAACCAGCCTGTTACAGTGAAAATTTAAAGATACCATTTATATTTGCATAAAAAATATAAAACACCTAAAATAAATCTAATCATGAAGTGTAGGACCTCTACATAGAAATAGCCAAATGCAGCCTGAGGTCCTGGATAGGATCTCGGGACAGAAAAAGGGCTTTTTAAAAACGTTTAAAAAATACTGGAAAACTGATGAAATTTAAATATGAGTTTTATATTAGTTAATAATATTGTACCAATGTTAATTTCCTGGTTCGCATAATTGTACTATGTTAATAAGATGTTAATGTGAGGGGAAGGTGGGTGAGGGATATCAGGACACTATTACATTTGCAACTTTTCTATAAGTCTAAAATATGGGGTTTTTTTTTAGATTAATATCCATTTTGGCTTACTAGTAATTAAAATAATTTATTCCCAATATCTGGCAAAGAGCACAAGTTATATGGTCAGGCATAGCTTGAAATCTTAGCTCACAGGATGTTTACAGCTCACCTCGGTCCTCTGAGCCTCCATTTTCTTCATCTGTAAAACTGAGATGACAGCGCCTTAATCAAAATATTGTTATGAGCATTAGATATGAGTATAAAGTGCCAAGTGCTACACCTGGCATGGAGTAGGTAAGCAGCAAGATGTTTTTCTTCCCACAGGAGACATCAGTTCACTACAACCAGTAGAGCTGACCTCGTGCCCTATGGAGATATAATCCAGAAAGGAAAACAGCCAGGGCCTTTTAATACTATGTGATGGCTTTCCCGTGGTACTTACCAATCTACCTTGCATGACCCATGATTTAGCATTTGTGACCCTCATGAGCCAATGAGGGGGAAAAACTACTACAATTCACCAGTGAATGTCCTCATACACCTTTGTACACTTTTGTTCATATATCCGCAGAGCACATTCCTAGAAGTAAGACTGCTGGCCAAGGAGTATGCACATTTTAAATTTTGGTAGCTACTAACTAATTGTTCATGTGTGCACAACCATGTTGATCTTCCCCTGACATACAAAATCAGCCTTCACGGGGAGACAGACATGGTTAAAAACATAGTGCCTTCTCATAGTTAAGAATGACCCACATCAGATTAGACTGCCTGGGTTGGAGTAATAAGTTTTCAAGAACAGATTTAGCGGTCAGGATTCTGTAGAGGACATTACAACATTTGGTATGAGAGAGAGAAGCTGACATCAAAGGAATCTCTGAAATTCAGCCTTGGGGAAACCTCTCAAATGTGGCTCATTTGGCCGTGGGCCCTTCCAAATGTGATGTTTTCCAGATGAGTCTCAGAGAGCACAAAGACTTTGCAGGACCAGCCTTTGATTCCCTTCCCAAAGGACTCTGGCTCCATCTTCTAGAGCTTCTGCTAACTCTTAACCTCTGGGCTCTGCATGTCTTTTACCTCAAAGACAGGTATGTACATTGTGCCCTCAGTGAAATGGCCCAAGTACTGTTGTAATGCTCCACTGGTGGTTCCAGGAGGTAAGTGAGGTTTTTACAGCAAAGGGAGATGTTCTCTTACATCTGAAGGGAGACACAGCTGAAGGTAAAAAGAGCAGCCAGGGCAGAGCTTGACTTCATGAGGAGGAGGCCAACTGCAGGTGTTTGGTTATGATTCTGAAGCTCTGTGGAGAAGTTGGGCTGGTGGTAGAGATGGGGGAGTCCTCAGCACAGAAATAGGTGAAACCAGGAGTTAGATGAGTTCACCAGGGACGGGAGAAGAAACGGAACTCAGGAGGGAAACAGAACAGTCAAGGAAATAAGGAAACCAGGAGAGTGTGTTGTCATTGGTGCCAAGAAGGAGTTTCTAGTAGGAAGAAGTGATCATGCCCGGCCGGGTGTGGCTCAGTGGCTGAATGTCAGCCCAGGAAGCAAGCGGTCGCAGTTCAATTCCTGTTCAGGGCGCGTGTTCAGGTTGTGGGTTTGATCCCAGGTGGGGACGTGCAGGAGGCAGCTGATTGATGATTTTTCTCTCTCATTGATGTTTCTATCGCTCTATCCCAGTCCCTTCCTCTCTCTAAAGAAAAAAAAAAATCAGTAAAACTTTTTTTTTAAGTGATATCAAACACAGCAAGAAAGTTCCCAATTATACACAAGTTGAATAAATGGCTCAGTTCGAGCAATGCCAATATTGCTGTGACCTAGGCGGATATCACACAGCAGCTGACAGATGTCAGCTTCATTTATTTAAATGGCTCACACTCAAACATTCTCTACTCTCTCAGGTGCTCAGCCATAGCAGTTCTCATGCCTCCCCATTTCCCCATCAAAGTTTAAACTATTTATTTTATGGACCCCTACTGACTCTGAAATTATGGAAACAGTGATCTTTCTATATTCTTCATTCAATGCCTTTTCTATCTGTTACTGTCACCCCAGAGTCAGCCCAGGCCAGTGAAGGGGCAGGGCCTGGCACCGACAAGTGAAAGTGGATTCTCTCACTGGGGGGTTTATCTCCCAGGGTTTGGGGCAATCTTAGGTAAGGCCAATGCCTATCTCCGCAGATTGAAGTAATGCTGCTTGTAAAAGGGATGGTTGCCCCTGCATCGCCTTTTTGCTCAACTTTGGTGCTGGTATTATGGTTGTACACAAACTGTTGATGAATATCGGTTGTGTGCAAAGGTTTTGATGGCTCTGTATCTTGGAACACAGCTGTGTACAAGGAATGGGGATGCTGTATTATACAAAGTCCCCATGGTGTAAGATGGTGGTCCAGTTTTTTTTTCCTGGGCTCTCTACTCTGTTCCATTGGTCTCTGTGTTTGTTTTTATGCCAGTACCGTACTGTTTTGATGGTATTGTAGTATGGCTTGCAATCATAGAGGACACCTTCAGCTTTGTTCTTTCAAGATTGCTTTGGCTAGTCTAGGTTTCTCATGGTTCCATACATGGGGAAATGAGGCTTCTCGATGTGATATTCAAACAGCCAGTGAATGGCAGAGCCAGGGCTGGAGCCCACCACCCTGATGCAAAGCTCTCAGGGCCTCCCATTCAGGGCTCTGCGAGAAGCAGGGCAGACTGGGTAAAACAAGACCTGAACTCCTGGCTGTGCCCGCATTCCCAGGCCTCCCTGCAGACCCCCTTAAAAGTTGGCCTAAACTTAGTGGCAGAGGTGAAGAGACAGTGATACAAAAGTGGGAAAGGGGGAGAGAAGGGAGCAGAAGGAAAACAGAGGGAACACAAAAGGGTGAGTTTGGAAGACATGGAGGGGCCAGGGAGAGGAGCCCAATCTCAAGTGTAAACAGCATTGCTCAGCCAAAGCCCTGCACATGACACTGATGACGACACTAAACCCTGGATCTCTAAAGCTGACTTCAACCAGCCCTGACCAGTCTCGCCCGCCAGATGAGCTGTAGAGAGCTCTGTAAAGTTTCCATTGGTTTATCAGCTCTGTCCTTGTCGAGATTTTTAAAAATCATATTTGGTTAACAAAAAGACAGTGACCATGCCCTATCTTAGGAAATTATTACAAATAAATTACCAGACAACTGAATGGGAATGTAGATACAAAAATTTGTTACTTATTGAAATAAAGAAGTAGAAATAAAGTAGGTCTTTTTCAGGAGTGAGTGTTACAAAGAAAATGTCGTGGAGGGGGGAAAAAAGTCAACAAGCCAAGGAAACTTTTATATCTTAATTACTAATGAGTTTTCTCCCAATAATCAAAAAAACCAATGAATACAAAAGAATAATTGTTATGATCGCCAGATGGCGATATAGCTCTTTTTTTCAAATGGAGCACTTCACCATTTATTCCAGGTTATTCCCCCAGAAGTTTACAACTTAGTAAATCAAGACTTGTATTATGAGAGTCCTGGAATCAAAATTGAGAGCTGTAAGGGATTCAGAACTTACCTCACGTCCTTTCCATGCCTGACTTGCAGGAGTGTCCTTTATAGCCTCATGCGCTAAAGTTAACCCCCGCACATTACACCTCCTACCGACGCGGCCCATGGAGACGCTAGGGAACTGTGTACTTCAAAGTTCTTCTTTAAGTGAAATGCACCCTGTGACCCTAGTCAGCTCTGAGCATGTCTGCTCTCCCCTCCAGAACTTAATTTTTTTTACAGTGGCATAAAAATATTAATTCATAATAGCCACTCTGAATGTTTTAAAAAAAAAAAACTTCAACAATCTCGTTTTGAATTTAACAACAGAGAACACCAACAGTCACAGACCAGTTTCACAATTGGCTTAAACATGCACATTGTAGCAATTGCATGCAAGTATTATATTTTTAAAACCCATATAGTAACGTTATGTTATTTCCCAGAGACTGTCATATCTTCTGAATGTATTGGACAGGTGCCTCTGCTGTGTACCACCAGTAATGTAACTCAAGGTCTAAACTGGCTGATCTCCGTTACTGGTTCTGGTGCTTTAAGTTCTTTTATATTGTTATTGTGTGAAAAAAAGAAGTCAAGGTTAAACCATCCAAAGAACGGTAACACCGTGGAGTTCTTTAGCTATATCCATCCCATTAGCCAGACACTGGACTATGTGAATGCCCATTTCCCTGGCAGAGACATTCTGGCTTCTAGATTATTAGTGCCTTCAGATCTTTAATTAAACAAAATTAAAGCAAGGCCTAAATGTATTGCTAGCCAAAAAAATGAGTGTGTATTAGCTCCCAACCTGGAGTCCTTTCCTGTCAGTGCTTAGATTCAGGCAACACAAACCAGTCCCTCAGGAAGCCCCCTGAAGAGGTCAGAACGTTGGGTGTTGAGTCCAGTCCTCTCCTTTCCCCCAAGGGAGAAGCTGGGAGCTGAGGGTTCCCTGTGATCCTGTGCCGCGGTGCCGGGGGGCGGGATTATGGCAAGAGGGAGCCACAGATGTTCCAACCAGCTCCAGTACAGCTGGCTTTGCGCTCACCCTGGGTACAGGAGCCTCAAAATTGATCTTAGGGTTTCTCAGAAACGGCCTTGGTCTGTGCGTTGTTGAATTGGTGCGTCCATGGCGGGATCCCTTAGAGTGTACCGTCTACTCATAACAAAGAGCTTGCTGTAAGTTAGCATGCTATGTGATGCCAGCCGCAGCCCCAAATATTTTGTGCTTACCCTTGACCACTGTTCCCGATGCCTCTTCTAATTCCTGCCTCTATACTACAGTCCAGTTCCTGGGAAGAGTTGTCCGTTCCCACTGTGTCCACTTCCTAGGCTCCCACTAGTTCCTTGACTCTCCAAGGATGGTCGCATCCCTCTCGTATCACCGCTCACTGCATGACCTCAATCTCCTTGCCTTGCCTTTTTTCTCTCCGGTCCCCTTCCACGCCTATTTCGTGTTCTCCAAATCCTACATTCAGCATCTCACTCCTCTCAGTCTTACACCCTGCCTGGGTGACCCTGTCCACTTTTGTGGCTTATCTACCACATGCAGATGGGCCCCCCAAACCTAACTCCAGCCATAAGCTCTCTCCCAACAAACAGACTCAGGTTTCCAACTGCATCCTGAAAGTGTCCACCTGAGTATCACAGGCACCTCGAACTCAACATGCCCCATACTAAACTCACGTCTTACTTCCAAGTCTATTCTCCCTGCATTCTGCGTCTGTGTACATTGCACAACTGTTCACCCCCTTGCCGAAGCTAGAACCCCGAAGTCGATTTGTTTCTTCTCTCTCCCTTTCTATTCTACATTCAAACTGTGTCTCTATGACCCATAAATTCAGTGGAGTCCTCTGACCTGAGTTTGATGTGCACTCTTTAAAGAAAGACTCAGGCACGCTCTTTCTAGCACTTTATTGGAAATTGGTTGTGTACATCAATGAGATCAAAGTAAAAGCATCATTTTCACACAATAATGTCCTAATAGCTGTGCTATCTTTTTGCATAATTTAATAAATCCAAGGATGCTCCTGATTTGGGTCAAAGAGCTTGAATGGTCCAGAAATCTCTTTATATAAATATAAATCATAGCATCTAAAATAACCATCATTGTTTTGAGTTGGTTTTTCAAAACTCCTGGGAACATCTCTTAAAATATTAGTCTGTACCTTGGATTGTTTGCAGTGCTGGTGGGAGGGAGTGAAGGGGGTGCACATTATACCACAGAGCTAATTATAGCGGGAGCTGGGGCAGAGGGACAGAGCTCCCCTGACGAGGGCACACAAGGGGCTGGGGGCTGGAGATCCTGAAAGCTGGCTGGGGGTCTCAGCCACATCGCATTTTCCAACATTGCTAGGATGTCAAAGCTATGAGACTTCAGAGCAGAAGGAAAGAGTTGCCCCAGGTCCCTTGGCATTGCCAAGAAGTGGCAGAGCCCTCATCCAGATTGCAGAGGGGGCAGAGATTCTGGCACCGAGAAGGTCCTAGAAAGTTCCACCCATCTCCCTCCCCCTGCCATGATCAATTCTCTCCCAAATTAGAAAACTGGAGGGAGTGGCACCTCAAAGGATATAACTTTGGGCCAATGTGCTAATGGCCCCTTGGAATGAGGACAGGGTGCCTTTGCTTGGCTCGAGCTGCGGGGCACTGACCAAGGCCGCTCTGCCTCAGCGTCCCCCTCGCCACCTTGAAGGCCTTCAGGAGCAGTTAGGTTCTTTGGTTCTGCAGAGCTTCGCGGCACTCAGCCCAACACCTGCTCATCCGTGGTGGCTTCACTGCTCACAAACAGCTTAAACCTCCACCAAGTCCTTGGTTCTCACAAGCCTATGAGGTAGGAAGGGCAGGGATCACAGTCCCCACTTGAAAGACGAGGGACCTGGAACTCATAGAATGAGGTCCCCCTGATGGAACCCACACAGCCGGCCAGTGGCACAATCAAAATCGGAACTCAGGTGTCCCCTCCCATATCAAGCTCCAGAGTCTACACTCCCCAGGCCTCCTGCTGCGTCTCCGAGAAAGGGAAGGAGTCCGCGGGAGGGGACGCGGCCCTCA